AGGCAAAGGATACTCATACAATTGTGTTTGGAAGGCTAAAGATGTATAAAGTGGTGGGAGGCCACAGTAAGTGAGGCCTACACATCACTTCATTTGCATTGATACAGTGTTATGGTCAGCATGTAACAAATTCAAGTTTTGCTTTTTGGAATTTTGTTGGAATTTTTTAAAAATTGCCTTTGATCAGCAGTTGATTGAATCTGCAGACATGGAACCGCAGATATGTTTGGTTAACTTATGTATGTGTAGAAGGGGGATAAACACTTCAAAAGTTAGGAGAATGAAAATAGATATGCAATAAAATTTTAACTCATTCATGAGGTGATAATATGCCTATTAGACTATTCATATAAAATATTATATTTTACAGTAATATTTTCTGAAATGTTAATTGCCACCTCTTTTGCAAATATATAAGCTGCACTGCTATCAATGTTCTATAGAAATACCCATTCTTATTTACATTTGATTTGGAATTTCTTAATAATTTCTTTGAGAAGATAAGGACTGTGAAATTATCCTTCAAAAGAAACACCAAGATTGTAATATGGTGTTTTACTCAATTATTTAATGCAATTACTTATTTAATAAGTATTTTACTGAGCAATAAGAGGAAGGAGAAAAAATATATAGTTCTAGTTCTTAATGAAACTCAATCCAAAGAGTTCATCAGAAATATATGTATTATATCTATAATAAATAAAATACCCAAATAATTATATAACCTTAATTAAGCAATTTCGTCTTAAGGATGTTATTATAACCCTAAATACAGGTTCTAAACAAACCCAGAAGGAAGGGCTTTGTGAAGAAATTACCAAAAAGTTGAGTATTAAAGAATCAATACAAAACAAATAAGCAGGAGAATTAGACCATTAAAAATGTTCAAGAAATAGTTAGCATTGAATGCAAACACACAGACTAAACAAACCCTGGTACTGATCAGAGAACCAAAGGCAATCACACCTAAGTGTCCTCTGGGCATGTGGCAAGGTTGCAAGCAGCACAAGGAGTATAAGATTTATAATGAACCAAGCTGTTTAAAGAGTCTATGTCATGCATGGATATGATTAAATATCCCTATCATTAAGATCACTTTGAAAGCAGTATGAATATCAAATTAAAATTAGGGCCACTAACAACTATAGTAATCTAGGAGAGAAAGCTAAAAGCATAAAATGTGAAAATAAAAATAAATGGGTTTGGGCTGAGCTTGTGGCTCAGTGGTAGAGTGCTTGCCTTGCACGTGTGAGGCCCTGGGTTTGATCCTCAGCACCACATAAAAATAAATAAATAAAATAAAGGTTTTTTTAAAAAAGTTGTCCTTTAAAAATAAATAAATATGTTTGCCTAGGGTCTCACCCACATGCTATTTTTACAAATAAAATTTTACTGGAATATTCATTTACATATTGCCTGTGGCTGCTTTCTGACCACAACAGAATTCAGTAGTATGACTAAAACTGAATAGCCCACAAAATCTAAACTAATTGCTGTCTGGCTTTTTGCAGAAAATGTCCTGATCTTTTGAATAGCTCATTCCCAAGTTTCCCAGGTGAAAGGTGCAGTTCTCTAACAGTGAACAAACAGTTTACAGGAGATACATATGATATTTCTTTTTTAATTTTTTGAGTTACAAGGTCATTGTAATATCCACTTGGAATAATGTGAATGATTCCATAAATGAACTTACTTAACATACATTCTGGCTTAGTTTTAAGTATGCTTTTTCTGTGGAAGCAGTGAGAGACCCCATTGTGTAAAAGGTTTCAGATATGACTTAGGTTTTGTAAACTGTAGCACCTGTGTAAAATTTAGAAGGCAGAGACTGCACTTTTCCTATATTTACTGTTTTTCCTGGCAAGTTTGATCATACATGTGTAAACATTTTTCTCTGTTGTCTCTAAAAGGCTCTAATGCCTGGGTCCTAGCTTCATGAATGTTGGTAAGTAAAACACTGGCACTGACTTTGTTGATCCAGATCATGTCAGAAGCCATATGCTTCTAAAGCTATCAACTGCACTGAACAATAACCAAAACAGCAGGCAGTTTCCTAACATACAAGGATCAATACCATACCAAGTTGCCTAATTTTGCATACTACATAGTTCCTGATTCCCAAGTTTCCCAGGTAAATAAGGCTACTCTGTAACAGCCAATGAAAAGAGTAAGCTCAACTTACAGCCGTTTTCTTGAGCCTTCCCTATGATATCTTATAATAAATCCCTGTTTGTTAAAATTAGCTAGAAGTAGATTCTATTTTGAAGCAAACACTAACAATACACTAACAATCCTGATGCATACATATACAGATAAAGAATTAGAAAAAAAGGCTCTAGGATTCAGATTGAAATTTGAAAGTTATCAGCAAACAGACATATATGAGACCACCAATGAAAAAACATGTGAAGTAAAAAGAAGTCAAACAGATAAAGGAAAGACAAACATCAATGAAGTGGCTGAAGTTGTTAAGAATGAGGAAAAAAATCACAACCAAGGTCAAGAGAAAAAAAAGAAAAAGAAAAAGAAACCAGGGGAAATTTAGGGTTAGAGAAACCAAAAGAAAGGGGGTATCAAGAAGTTGAAATGATCACCAAAGTGAAAAAAAAAAAATGAGAGGAGCAAAAAGGTAAAAGACTTTGGGGAAATTTGGAGATATAAATGAAGATTTACTGAAGAGTGTATATTAGAAGCCAGAATAATCTAGGGACTACATGAAAAATTAAGAAAAGGAGGCAGTACTAAGAATAGTCTATTCTTCCAAATAGTTTGGTTGTGAAGTAAAGAAACAAGGAAATATCTACATGTTGTTTGTAGCCATACAGAATATTTAAAACTGAAGATTCCTTTTTCCTTTCATGTAGGAAAAACTTGAGTATCTTTGTATGCTGCTAGTAGAACAGAGAAAGCTGAAGATTCAGAAAAGGAAAAGAGCAAAGTACAAAAGCAAGGCAGCCAGGGTGATGGGAAATTAGCCTTTAACAGGAAGGTAAAATATTTAATAGAGATGGACATTTAAGACTGATGTTGACAGAAGTTGAAAAAAACCTCAGTCTCATTGGTCTTGGTTTTCTTAATGAGGAATGAGACAAGATTCTGTTATTACAATAGAAAAGAAGGGATTTAATTAAAGATTCACAGGAAATAAAGATTGTAAACAGTCATTTGTGAAATGAAAGAGAACTGTATACACTAAAAACTAATGAGATCCCAGATATATTTAAAAAACAAAAATTTAATTACATCAATCTTATAATTATTTAATTTTACTTGGCACTGAAAAGGCTAGCATGGAGTAAGAAATAAGGCTAGATGTTCAATGACCCACAAATGGCACTGTGACATGAAAGCTTAGTATAAAGGCAGGGGTAAAAGAATTTGACAGTACCATCAAGAGCAACAGTTCTTTCAAGACCTACTGAATCAGAAACTTTGGGCATTAGGCTCAGCTCTGTTTTTAAAAGGCCTCCCAGAAACTTTGATGCATGCTAAAGTTTTAGAACAGATGAAGTTAGAGGAACAGATAAAATACAAATCTCAGATCAACTTAATATAGAAAAATTGTAGAGACAGAGAAGAGGACAGACATGATTGACAGAGTAGAAAACCAAGTAGTGAAGACAACTGATGTTCTAAATACATGAAAAGACTGGTGTTCTCAATGAATAAAAGAATTATGTTTTATAATAGGAACAGGGAAAAGGAAGAAAAAAAATAAGGAGCCTATGGCCAAAGACTAAGACATTGGATATGTGCAAAAGATGACAGAAAGATTATTAATGGGAAAAAGATGCAAAAGTAGAAGAGAAAGGAAGGGTACCAGATTTCATGTTTGAGCAAGTAAACATCAAAAAGCTGTATAGCCAATGTATAAAAATATTCACAATCACTAACAACATGGAATTATGGGATTTTAAGATAAAGAGAAAACAGTTCCACCTAAATCCTGAATGAATACATGGGAGAGATAAAGGTGTCAGTAGATACAATCAACCACGTAAAGAATAGGACATTAGACAAAGGAAGTATATCCCCAGTCTAAAACCCAAGGAAGGTATAATTTATATAGAATAGAAGATTACAGAAATCAAACCCAGCAGCTATTCATGTTTCATTCAGGGCAGACAATCAGATTAACAAAGTTGTGTTTTAAATCCTTACCTTTTAAGGATCTAAAAAGGTATCTCTCACATGTCATGTAGAAACAAAAATATTACTTTTCAAAATAATATACATATTTTGTCCTCATAGAGAGACAAAACTGATCTCTAGTGTTAGAAGTTATGATAACCCTTACCACTGGGAAAAAGGAAGAAATTAATAATTGTGAGAAACACAGACTCTAAGACAGCAGGAATGTTCTATGTCATGATGTGAGTTTTGATTTCACACATATGTTCACACTGTAGTATTTCTTTCTATAGGTACATTTTTGACTTGTTCATTTTTCAAAATGTACACAATATTCGATTTTACAAGTTTAATCAAGAAAATTAAGCATAAGAATAAGATACCTTAGGAAAAATTTCAAATCCTTTTTTAAAAATTATGAAACAGCAATGGTATAAGGTATGGGGGCTAGAAATTAAAATTTGGATCCAAACCATTTAATTTACTAGCTATATATCTTCAACAAATTATTTAAGCTGTGTTTCATCATCTGTAAGATGGAAATAACAATAATACCAACTATACTGTGGTTGAAAGGATACCTTGAACAAAGCAGACACATTTTACAAATATAACTATTATCTATCATACATAAAATGTACATCATATAAAATGATTTCATATTATATACATAGAAAACTTAGGCCTAATTTAGAATTAAATATATCAAAACATATTAAAAGTTACCTGTATTTATATGTGTCCTACTATCCAGTTTAATTGTAGGCATAGTTCCTCAGTAATAAAGACATTTATTACTCTTTTGGATGCAAAGTCAAAATCTGTCAATATTATGACATATTTCACATAAAAAATAACATTTTCATTACCTGAGTCTCTACACCCTGCTCTAGCAGGCGCTTAGCTTGATTTTCCACTTCAAGTCGAGCTCTTGCAATAAAAAGTAGATCATTTTCTATTACTTCTATTCCAGAAAGATCTATTCCTTGAGAAAGATAATCTATTGGAAAAAAACACATTTAAAATATTTCAATATCAAATATCAAGGCATCAACATATCATGAATAAATTTTTCAAAAATATTATAAATTAACTATTCAAAAATCCATATTTTAAAAAGTAAGAGTTTCCCAAGTTTTTTTTTTTTTACTTAATAAACACATTTCACTTTGGAGGCAAATGTCCCAAATAAAAAAGAGTTGGTAAAATGAAAACTTAAATTATGATTACTTCAAGTTCAAGCAAAGTCATTAGATTACATTAAAAAGTTTCAAATTTATTTTAATATAAATAAGTATCTTGGTACTTCCAGAAATTTCTCAAGTTGCAATGCAGATTTAAAAGTTATTCTCCAAGATTAAAACATCTGAAATAAATGTTCAACATTTGGAGAATAAGATTAATGAATTATGTAACAAGATTCATAAATTATGTAAAACTTAGCATTTTTCCAGTTTACATCATCAAGCAAACCTAGTTGTTTAATTTTAGAATTTTCATATTAATGAATGAAAAAAAAATATTGGTGAATTAACTATTTCTATAGGACAAATTCGCACGGTAAGAACTGTAAAAACATTCTTCTAAGACCTTAAACAGCATCTGCATGCTTAGAATTGGGGAAATTTTACTTTCTTCCTTTTTTTTCCTTACTCTTAAACATATTGAAGGTAATTAAAATGCAAGTAACAAAGATCAAAGTTTAATTTGAGTTTGGACACAGTTCTATAACTCATGATTTCTATTTTAACAGGACAAATTATTTCTAAAAAGTAAAATTTACTTAGATGGAAGACTTAATTTTGCCAGTTATTAGAATATCAAATGTATTTTCCTACATATTCTTAATTAGAATTACTGTTTATCTTTGGTCTTATTAAAATATATGTCTAGCAATTACATATTATCATGGTTTAAATTAAGTTGGTCACAACATGGTACATAGGTTAAACGACATTAGAATAGGCAATACAATGTTAACTAAACACATATCAGCACTCAAATATATTCGATATTTGAACACTAYATAGGTTTACTTTTACACACAAGGACAAAAGAATACAAAAGTAGCAATACTGTGTTAAACTACAGTTAAATACGATAGTTATTTTTAATCTTATTACAACCACAAGCATTTTTTTAAATGTGTATATCCAAAAGGATAAATGACTTATTTAGTGAAACGTTCAATGAAAATGCCAGCAAACCATTTCAACTTTGATGTGATCATAGACAAGTGATCTTGTCAAAGTCTCTATGAGCTTCAGGTTTTTCTCACCTATAAAATGGCAACAATTTATAATTCATTCCCTTCATACTCTTCAGACTATTATCAGAATCAAAATAAGACAAGCTATATTATATACCAATTTATTACATAAATTTTGAACAGTAATACATAGAATATAAAAAGAAAATCTGATTTTTTCCAATAATTTTTTTCATACTTTTGAGGTAAAATTGGAGTTCAATAAAATGAACATATTTAAAGTATGCAATTTAATCAGTTTTGACATATAYATAACCAATACAGTCAATATAAAAAGCATTTCCATTACTTTTTAAATTTGAACTCATGCAGACTGTGTTTCCTGCATGATTTATTACATTAGAAATCAACCACATTAAGATAGATAGAACCATACCCCCCACATGTCAACTATTTCAAAATTAAATAGCACACTTAGAAATATCGCACAGGTCAAGGAAAAAAGCACAAAAAAGTAAATAAAAAGGGCTTTGAACTAAGTGATAATAAAAGCTTAAAATATCAGGACTTCTGGGTTGGAAGAGTACTCAGATGAACATTTATAACTTAAAGGACTTGTATCAGAAAGAAGATSGAATAACAATCAAATTACTTTCAAATTATGTTGCAGGAAGGAAAAAATAAGAGTAAGAGTAGAAATATATGAAACAGAGGAGAAATAATTCAGCTAAAATTTGATAAAAATAAAAAAAACAATCAAGAAAAAAGGAAGGGGCTGGGTATATAGCTCAGCTGGTAGAGTGCTTGCCTTGCATGCATAAGGCGTTGAGTTCTAATCCCCAGGACCACAAAAAAGAAAAAGAAAACAAGTAAGTACACAAAAATGAATATCAATAGAAAGGAAACTATCAAAATAACCTTACAGATGTTAAAAATGTATTAAGGTAATATTATAATTGTTTGCCAACATATGTGATAACTTACATAACATGGTCTATATTAGAGAAGAATCTGTGTGCAGCTGAGAGAAAAGTGTATTCACTCATTAATGGGTGAAATATTCTATATATGTCTGTTAAGTCTAAATTATCATTCGTATGTTTTACTTCTATAGCTTCTTTATTTGCTTTTTGTTTAGATCTCTCCAGTGGTGACTGAGGCATGTTAAAGTTACCCACTATTGATGTGTTGTGCTCTATTTGATTCTTAAAATTGAGAAGGGTTTGTTTGATGTACAAGGATGCCCCATTATTTGGGGCATAAGTATTTATCACTGTTATGTCTTATATRTAATTCCCTTAAGCAGTATGAAATGGCCTTCTTTGTCCCTTCTGATTAACTTTGGCTTGAAGTCAACTTTAACTGATATAAAAATAGAAACCCCTGCTTGTTTATGCAATCCATGTGAGTGAAATGTCCTTTCCCATCCTTTCACCTTTGGGCTGTGGATGTCCTTGCCTATGAAGTGAGTCTCTTGGAGACAGCATATGTTGGGTCTTGTTTTTTAATCCAATCTGCCAGTCTGTGTCTTTTGATTGCTGAGTTTAGGTCATTAATATTCAAGGTCATTACTGAGATATGATTTGTATTCCTGGTCATTTTGATTTATTTCTAGTTTTTAATTTGAATTATTTTCTCCTTTGATTTGACTATTCCTTTCATGAAGTTTCTCCCTTTGCTGGTTTTCACTTTTTTTTTTTTCTCATCTTTGTGGAACATTTTGTTGAGAATGTTCTGTAGTGCAGGCTATCTAGTTGCAAATTTTTTTAACTTTTGTTTATCATGGAAGGTTTTTATCGCATTTTCAAATCTGAAGCTTAAAATTTTGCTAGATATAGGATTCTTGGTTGGCATGCATTTTCTTTGAGAGCTTGATATATGTTATTCCAGGATCTCCTACCTTTGAGGGTCTGGGTTGAGAAATCAGCTGAGATTCAAACTGGTTTTCCCCTATACATAATCTGATTTGTTTTTTCTCTCCCAATCTTTAAAATTCTATCTTTATTCTTTATGTCAGATATTTTCATTATAATGTGCCTTGGTGTGGGTCTGTTATAAATTTTGTACATCTAGGGACCTGTAAGCCTGCTGTATTTTATTCCATTTCATTCTTTATTTGGGGAATTTTCTGATACTATTTAATTGAAAAGATTGTTCATTCCTTTGGTTTCTATCTCTGTGCCTTCATCTATCCCAGTAAATCTTAAATTTGGTCTTTTCATGCCATCCCACAGTTCCTAGAAGTTCTGTTTATGGTATCTTAACATCTTCTCTCCATGGTCAACTCTACTTTCAAGATTATATATTTTGTCTTCATTGCCTGATATTCTGTCTTCCAAGTGGTCTAGAAACAGGTAGGAGAAAAATATATATATAAAATAAATTTTTAAAAATTAAAAATAAAGAATACAAAACAAAACTGATGTATCCTAGTTCACAAAAAAACTAATCCATGAAAAATAACTGGCTTCAAAAATGCTAAAAATGAGGGGGGGAAATATGAATATGTATAAATGCCATGAACCATTAAGGTCACAATTAAACAACAAAAAAAGAGTTGTTAAAAACCTTGATGAATAAACTTAAAGAATTCTTTCTGTTGGGGTTCAAAAGATTCTCAGTTTCTCTTCTTAGCAGTTTTAGGTGTGGTCCTTTGGAGTTTGATTCTCCAGACTCTAAATTGCTAGAGTGAGAGGGTTAATCCCATAGATGGATTTCCTGGGGGCAGAGTTTAGGCTTAGGTGGGCTCAGGGCTCTTGCTGAATATCAACTGCTCTGGAGATTTTACATCAGTACACCTCTAGGACACAGTACTTGCTGGTCCATGCCAGAAGACTGTACCCCAAGGATCTCCTCTGGGTTCCAATCATTGGTGGGGGACCCAATTCTTAGTCTTCCGAGTCACCATTGGACCCTACATTTCCTGGTCTTTGATTCAGTCTCGAAACAATCTTTCCTGCAACTGCCCTTCCAAGTTCCCGGCCAGATGTGTCTCTTCCATCATGCTCTGCAAGCACTGGACTGAAGAGAGTAGGGGAGAGCCAGGTGGCTTTCCATGACCAGATGGCCCCTGTGTAAACCTCACTGGACTGAAGGAGGTAGGGGTGAGCGGGGTGGCTTTCTATGACCAGATGGCCACTGTGTAAACCTCTTTACATGCTTGATTTTCTCCCGGTCAATTAAACACACTCTATGTTATGCAGTGTGTATTCACTTCACCTAAATTTCAGGCCAAACTCGGGTTTGCCAGTAATCAGCCCCCTCAGCTGTGCAGCACCTGCAAAATGGTTTTTTCCTTTGACTTCTGCAGGCAGCCTAGATAAATGGTGGCTTCTTTCACATGCATGCATATCCTGCAACAGGTCTTCTTTCAGGTTTGCCAGGCAATGTCCATGATCTCTAAATGCTCCTTACCCAAACATGCCTTAGGCTTCTCCAAAAAGCAGATTCCTTTAATTCCCTTATCCTTTCACTATGTTCACAGATGGACCATTCTGGGTTGTGCTTCTGTTCTGGCTCTGGCAGTGGCTGTGCTGCTGGGGATTTCTTCCGGATTTTATAATATCCAACCTCCTGAGTCCCTGATCTGCATTGAATGTCCAGTTTTAAATTCCAGTGAAATCCCTCTGTTTTTTTTTKTTGTTGTTCTTGTTCAGCCACCTTGCTAAGAAGCTGGCTGGCTGCTTTTTTTGGTTTTACTCCACAGAGCAGCCAGGAAAGCAACCTCCTCTATTCTTCCATCTTGAAAACCCCTGATTTTTTTTCAGTTTAAATTTTATTTTTCAGACAAT